ACGACACCCCCGATATAATGTAGCAAAGACATGTTATGTTAGATACGCAGTTATTTTTATGGTTACTAGTTTTAAGATTTTCAATAATTTATACAGCTATGTCGAATGTACCCTGTAAGTATTACACGTGCGTAAACGTATTTACATAGGTCATGTTTATATATGTTAAAGCGGGGGAGTCATCACCTGCGCATGCGTCAGATGGCCATAGCGTGTCATTGTTTACAAACAAGCGTCTACCCATGAGCCTTTGCGTTTTAAGCTGGCGTTGTCATCATCGCTTGGGACTCTGTTCTCGCGCGTGCGCAGGCGACGACCCTCCCGCTTTAAAGTTAGGGGATGGGGGATGGTGTCAGGGCAACGGCATATATGCGCTTACCACTATCACTACAATTAGCAATTATAATAATTATTATATAAGTTATTTGTGTGATCGGTACATGTATTTTATAAAATATGGCGAAGATGTGTATACTGAAAAACACGTGGAATTGCTACCTGTCTTTTTTTAGCGAATTTGACTCAATTTGTAAATTATCAGATTACCAAATTATAAATTTACCAACAATCTCATTGTGAAAATATATTTTATTTTAACTTAGTGACAACTTGATTTAGCGAAATTATAGATTACCTAATTACTGTAAAATATTTTATTTTAGCTGGAATTAATTTTCACTGTAAAGACTTTTTGGATGTTTTTAATGGAATTTATTTTCACTGATTTTTGGTGAGTTGAATGTAAAATATAGTAAAAAGGTATATTCGCTGGATTTTATTTTCACTTAATCATTTCTTCAGCGAAAATGGCAAAAAATAATTCCAAGCGAAAATAAAGTATTTTACAGTAGCTACAAGAACATGTTAGCCAAAAAAGCATATCGTACAATATGTTGGGAGCATGGGATGCTAACACTCATTGTGTTTGAGTAGATATTTGTATTCATGCGCATGCCCAGTCAACATATTAGATGTAATGGACAACATATCCACCGTTGCATGCATGCGCAAGCTTCTATTCTTCAAATGACCATTGAACATGTTTTTTTTTTAAATTTAATAATTTTAAAATTATTTATTGTGTTCTTATATTGCACAGGACGAATTGAGAATATACGAAGATGTCCACAAATAGAATTACTGACTATACTCAAATATTCAGTACCGTGCGTGCACAGAGAGCTTCTAACTCTACATCATAATTATTCTAGTATGTACCTAATTACTTTGATCATTAATATGTAACAATAATGTTTGAAGAAGAGACTGTGGGAAACTTAGAGCGGTGGTCTGCGCGTAGGATTTGTGATGGTAAACAGTGATTTTATACAATCTTTCTAATCTCCCAGTGGTGAGCATGGATGTGAGTTTTGGTCTCGCCGCGATGTGCACTAAATACCGAATTTTACTCCTTTGGTCCGCCGATGAGTTCTAATCATCCAAAGAATTAATTACCAAGTTAGACTTGGTAGTATGCGCGGCGACGACCAACACCACTAACATCCAACAACATATATATTTATCATTCCCAAAGCTTTATTTTATGATGATCCGGTTTTCTATTTGAAATATTTGTTTACATTGTATTGCGCATTCGATTTTATCACATGGACACAATCAACAATGTTGAATATTAAACAACCATGGTCACGTGTTTATATGCTAAACTTCGTATGTGTATTTTATAAAAAAAACTTATCTATACCGATGGGGGCGCTATTACATTATGCACTCGTCTTTGCATTGGATATTTACAATTAGTAACATTCTAAAATTTTATCATTCTTGGTTTTAGGCTTGATTGTTTGGAAAATATATTATGATGAACTTGAAGGAAGAATTGTATTGCAAAGATGCTCTCAGTTTGACAGACGTACCCGATGAGCTATGGCAACACAACTATCACGTGAAAGTGGCGTGGCTGAGAGGAAATTATCTGTCGTCACTTCCGCCCGAAATGGTGAGGCTGGAGAGCATTTTCGAGTTAAACCTCCAAAATAACCAGTTTTCTCGATTTCCAAAAATACTTTGCGAGTTAAGGTCACTGACAATTTTGTGTTTTGGTAAAAATCGCCTATCCAAATTGCCAGATGAAATAAGACAATTAGAAAAATTGGACGAATTGGACATTCATAGCAACAGGTTCGTCAAGTTTCCAACTGTCGTCTGCAAGATGACAGGACTACGCCATCTTGATATGAGAGATAATAACATAGACATACTTCCAAGAGACGTTGAAGATATGCAGGAACTGAGAGAACTCTTTCTTGACCAAAACAAGAAAATTGACACTCTGCCAGACAGTTTGAACAACAATGTTAATCTCAAGGAAGTCGGCATGTCATACACGAGTTTACAACGCCTGCCTAATCTTAGACAATCCATCAAAGTTGAATACAAGAATACACCACTCAGGAATAAAGAGAACGCCGAGACAGGCCTAGGAAAAGTACTCGACGGTTGCCATGACTACAATAATATTAAGTTAACGATGAACGACACTGGTGAGCGTTCTTAACAGTATGGTTTAACAATACAACATATCTAAACCGAACACCAAAGAACTAACTAAGTTTACATTTTTTACGTTCTCTGAAATTTGCCTACATTAAATCAATATTTAAACAATAATGAACGACCCGCCAATCAATAATGGGCCAAAGCTCGCTCTGCCACATATCAAAGTGTGCTTGAGTCCATTATGGGTTGGCAGGGAGTTCATTATTGTTATTATTTTGTAGCGTTGTTAATACTAGTGGATTTGCTGCCACTGAAAAGCGGAAAACTTGGTGAAACTTGTCTTCACAACAGCATATGACAAACTAAGAACGAAACTGTTTTTTATCCATCAAATATTATTTTGAATCATTTACATTGCAAGCGGGCGAGTGACTGTTGAATTTGCTATTACATTTCTGTGGGCAAACACATAATTATAACCATAGAATATTTGTTCCACTTCCTATCAATTTAGAATAAGAGAAATGCCAAGAAAAATGTCAAATAAAACAAGTTATGTGTCACTTAGTGATTTACAAACGTGTCACTCTAGGAATATTAAAAACACACGTTAATTTTCCCAGAAAAATTTCCCAGAAAAATAATTCAACTGATTAAGCATTGATTCAACCAAAAACATTGTTTTCGTGCGAGCAGTTTTCGAGGAAATTAAACTAGTTTACGCAACCTCTGTGCTGCCACAGACAACACCAGTGCTTCGCCTGTGTGAAATCGCGCCCTCTATCATCGTTGTAAATCACGCCCTCCAGTGTCGAAGCACATCTATGACGTAAATGAGTGATACGAATACCGGTCAAGTCGTCGATATCTATTTGATCTATATTAGTCGTTAATCAATGAAAACTCTGTTTTAAGAGATTTTACTATATTCCAGATGACAAACGACTTTACAGTCACACACAGAGGTCTTTTTAAACGGCAGCGCCCTCGTCATACGCAATTTTCAGGCCACAGTTGCTTTCCGTCACTAGAGGGCGTAATTTATAGGAATAATGTACTATTACTGGTATTATCAGGGTATTATGTAGGTTTATTATATGAAAGGTGACAACAATTAAAATGTGGGGTAACATGGGACCCACTTATACGGAATTACACCATGGAATCAAATTACGTACAGTGTATTGTGTTGTAGTTGATGCACAGCAGCCAGGCCAACGACGTACGCACGTCATACTCTCATTACACTCGAAAGCAGGAGTCATATGAGTCCGATCTGTTATTTAAAAACAATTTTCTCGGCTCATGTTGATATTGTAATCCGCAGTGAACGGAAAAAACGAGAACAATGCAATATTTGAGCTTCAGTAGCATACAGCTGTAATGTATTTATGTTAATTCATTTTCAGAAGACCGCCTCGTTCCAGGACTACTTTTCCGAGATATAAGGGACGACGATATCAACAGCAATTGTCTGAATCATCGGAAACCAAGCGTGAAAACCAAAACATACAACCGAGAAAGAGGCCATATTACAATAAAGCGCAGCCAAGGTGCGTCATACCATTCCCTGTAGAATCAATAAATGGGGGAGAGGTGATTTTTTTGCGGCAGATAAGTTCCTTTACGTTTTCTGAAATATGCCTATATCAAATCAATATTTAAACAATAATGAACGACCCGCCAACCCGTAATGGGCCAAAGCTCCCTCTGCGACATATCAAAGTGTGCTTGAGTCCATTTTGGGTTGGCAGGGAGTTCATTATTGTTATTATTTGTAGCGTTGTCAATACTAGTGGATTTGCTGCCACTGAAAAGCGGAAAACTTGTTGAAAAATCCGCAGGAACAGTTTCACAGTCACTGGCCGCTTAATCTGCATAAGTAATTTAAAATGTCTTTCTGGAAATTGTCTTCACAACAGCATATGACAAAGTGGGCGAGTGACTGTTGTGTGGTGTGGAGTAGCATTGTAGGGATCACCCGAGCGAAAGGCAAACCGTGACAGTCACTGACTGGTACGCCGCCTCGGTGTCCGCTACGGCCTTGCACTACGCTACACTAGTGTGTGTACGCATAGTATTCCCCAGATCGCCGCGGCGGATCGGCTGTCTGTGCCAGCGTGCGTATATATACGTAGGGGTGCGTATCCGGTGTACATATACGTAGACGTATCGTTACACCATGCTATTTGCAACTGTCCCGTCTATGTAAACAGTTATTTTCAAATTCTACGAGAGGCCGGGGATTTGCCGAAGCCAAACGAAACTTAATAGAAGGTATCCAGCGAACGAACATGATTGAAAAGTTAGTGGGTGTTAGCCATCATAGAAGGAGGAACAACTGTTGATTTAATCTGACTGTATAAACAAGAAAAACACACCTGAGAACAGGGATAATTTCATTTGTTTATGCAAAATGTGCCCGGGCTGTGAAGTCGACGCCAAGATAATACAAATCACGTCGGTCTTTCGTCGATGTCGTTTCGCAAATAATGTTACAGTACTACTCACTACAAAGTACAGAACAAATTCACCTCTCTCTACTCGCGCTCTGTAGACATAATCCCACTTCGTTTATCGCATTTGCTTGGATAAATCACCCTCGAATTACCTTAGTTCATCGACACGATTGGGCAACACAGTTGGGAGGCAACGAACAGGACAGTGCCACCAGTCGCGGAAACTAGAAGCGCGCGCTTTCTAGATGGGACGCTGCGACCGACTGCGCTTTAGCGAACAAAGCAGACGATGATGTCATCTCTTTGCATGTTTATTTGCAGGTTTAAAAATGTTAAATGTCACAAAATAAATTTTAAATGCTTACATATTATAATTTAGATATATATGGTTTATATATATAATGGTTGAAAGTGTGTGTGTGTGTATACACGGGGGGGGGGAACTTGTCATACCACTATCCTTTGTAAAAGCGGCGAATATTGTTATATTCATTAGGTGTATTGACCTTAATATATTTTTAATTCTTTTTAGTGCTGGTTCGTTTGGATTTTAATGAACATATCTGTCCAATTCTGTTTCACAAGTGGTGGTCAAATATAAAAGTGTATACACCATCCAGGGCACGGTTCTCAATGCAGAAATCTCATTTATGACACTGCATAGGGTTCAATTAAGAGGTCTCCTTAGGTAACGATATTCACTGTATAAATCTCATTCAGGGAACGGTGTTAAATGGAGAGGTTTCATTCGAAAACAGTGTTCAATTGAGAGGTTCCATTTGGGGTATGTTTTTTAATGGAGAGGTTTCATTTGAGGTATGGTATTCAATTAAGAGGTCTCAATTAGGGAATGGTGTTCCATTGAGATGTTTCATTTAGGGAACCGTGTTCAATTGCAATGCCACTTTTAGGGTATGGTGTTCAATTGAGAGCCCTTATTTGGGGTACGGTGTTCAACGGGTCTTATTTGGGGTACGGTGTTCAATGGGTCTTATTTAGGGTATGGTGTTCTATTGAGAACCTTTATTTAGGGTATGGTGTTCCATTGAGAGCACAGGGTTTATTTAGAATATGGTGTTCAACGTGTCATATTTAGGGTATGGTGTTCAAAAGGGTTTTATTTAGGGTATGGTGTTCAACGTGTCATATTTAGGGTATGGTGTTCAAAAGGGTTTTATTCAGGGTATGGTGTTCAAAGGGTTTTATTTATGGTACGGTGTTTAACAGGTCATATTTAGGGTATGGTGTTCAAAAGGGTTTTATTCAGGGTATGGTGTTCAAAGGGTTTTATTTATGGTACGGTGTTTAACAGGTCATATTTAGGGTATGATGTTCAACGTGTTCTATTTAGGGTGTGGTGTTTAACAGGTCATATTTAGGGTATGGTGTTCAACGTGTTCTATTTAGGGTATGGTGTTCAAAGGGTTTTATTTAGGGTATGGTGTTCAACATGTCCTATTCAGGGTATGGTGTTCAACATGTTCTATTTAGGGTATGGTGTTCAACAGGTCCTATTTAGGGTATGGTGTTCAACGTGTTCTATTTAGTGTATGGTGTTCAACGTGTTATATTTAGGGTATGGTGTTCAACAGGTCCTATTTATCCTATGGTATTCAACGGGTCTTACTTAGGGTATGGCGATTATCAGAGATGAAGCATTTGGTGGCATGGATCAGTATCATTAAGGTATGGTTGTTAATGGGTAAAAAAACGCCTAGAATAGACGACATGAAAGAAATGAGTTGATTTTTCAGGGATTCCACTGAAGAATGTAATAATGCATTGGTTTGTTCTCTATGGAATGACGTCATTTGTCACGTGTGTGTTGATATACATTATCTTTGGATCCGGGTACCAACAATCACAACAAACACCGGTGCCACAACAACAACAACAACAACAACAACAACAACAACAACAACAACAACAAAAGCAAGTGCTACAAGACGAGTTGAACAAGTATCCTGACAGCCATAAACTCACACCAGGTATAACAAGGAATAAATTATTTCGGATTTTCAAACTAGATTAGAAAAACAAGCTGTTATTTCTATGAATAAGATACAGAATCAGCGCCAAACTATCACATATTATCCTATGAACGCACCTACAATATTAAAACATTTTAATGTGCCAGATTTTTTCACAACAAAATTTAGTGCAAATATTTTCACATTTTGTAGAAAATTTCCTAAATTTCATCATCATTTTGGACAATACAGGCTGTTTCAAATATTGTTTTTAGTTTTTATTAAAATATTTGTCCATTTTTAAAATGCAGACTATACAAAATCATTTTACCAAAATTGGCATTGGTGCCCCAAGACTTAAATATCCAGTAGGAATAATATATATTCCGTACTTAGTACGAAGCGTAAATTTGATATTGATAAATTTGTGCGGAGTTCAAAATTAAATCTAATAATATTGCACCGTGTTAAACATTTAATCTGGTAACAATATATAGTTCCCACTGCAGTGTTCAAAATTGAATCTCATTACACTGTGTAATGTTCAATGGCCGCCGATATCTCGTTGAGAGTGAGAGTGCCACCAGATTTAAAGTCTTTGCCCCTCAAATAATAATCCCATTCTCCCCGGACATAGAATCCACTGTTTCAAATACCATGGTTACGTAGATCAGGGGAACAGTGGATGCGATTACCGGAAGTATGAAGAAAGCTGGACACGGGGCAAGAACTTGTCACGTGATTCGCTCAACGAAATCTCGGCAGCCATTTGCTTTAAAGCTTTATTGAACTTGATAATAACTTGATCTAAAATATACTCATAAATCCAAACATAAACACTATACTTTTTGTTTTACAGATTTCCGCAAGCCACAATCAACTCCTTTAGATTCTGGATGCAGTAAACCATACACCAATAGGTAAGCAGCCAGTAATGTACGAACAAATACACATTATGTTCATAATGGCGGTGGTCAAATCGGCTTATCACACCTAATCCAGACTTATCACATGTCTCTGATTAGCAAAATTTCACATTTTTAGAAGCAGGTCTAATTTTTTGTGCTTGTTTTTTTTTTTCCAGCACATGCATGCGCTGGCGACCATTACTAATTCCAATCGCGCCTTTAATATAAAATTACTTCACATTGCTTCATGATAATATCCAGAGGGTGATATAACCTTATCCGTGTCTTGATTCTGTAGTAATGTTTTAATCATTGGAGACTATTGGGGAATGGGGCATGCGCATGGCAGCGGAATTACCAGTGTGCATTACCTGATATCGAATCTCGCGAGACAAGCTGGTCACAATGTTACATCAATTGTTTTACAAGCATCTGAGAAAGAGGTGAGATGTGAACATTATTGTAAGTAACACTGACGCATATATCTACTTTTCATACATATGCCATTACAATTGATGCAAACCAAATGGATATGAATTAAAATGAATCTATTTAAAGCGAGAGGGTCGTCACCTGCGCACGCGCGGGAATTGAGTCCCAAGCGATGACAACACTACACGCTAAGAACGCAGAGGCTCATGGGTAGGCGCTTGTTTGTAGTCAATGACACGCTATGGCTATCTGACACATGCGTAGGTGACGACTTCCCCGCTTTAAACCTTGATAACGTTCTTTTTTTGAACTCGTGCACGGCGCGACGACCACCGCCCTTTAATTAGAGATCACATCATACCGATACCATATTCATACACATTCCAATAACAATCCAACCGACAAAGACACTATAATACTTTGTATTATTAATACTGAGTAATGGGAAACCCAAATCCAGCTGATAGCATTTGGTGATAGCATGTGTGTATGGAAATAGCGACCATGGCACTAAAACTCCCAGATACACACCTGTGAATTCAAATCGTTCTCTTGGAAATATCTGGGCTAATAGTAGTGCTTTACACTTTTTAATAACAAACGCTTTTTCGATTTTTGCAATATCCACAACTACAACAACAACAACAACAACAACAACAACAACAACAACAACATACATAGTACATTCGAATTCTTCGATAGTAGAAATCCAACTTTATAATTGTGACTTGTTTAGTGTACTAGTATTTGATAATACACAATCACTGCCTACCTCCACACCACTAATTACTATAAAAAATCAGGGTTGTATCCATAGTAACTCTATATTTCATGAAATTTCATAGCATTGTGCGAAGCGTACGTGTGTGGCTATTAGCAGTGACAGCCACGACCGTGGATGTGTTTAAAGCGCGGTGGTTGTCGCGCATGCGCAGCGCATGATCGAATTTCAAGTAAATAAACAATGTATTTTACACGTGCGCGCTGTGTGCGTCTCTATATGGAACAGGACGCGGGCATTAAACTATAGGATACACTCACAGTATTTTATCATTTATTATAGCAAAGGGACGCACAGAAGAGAAACATAACTTTGCTACTTCCTAAGTTAAGGACGAGTTTGCAGCACGACATTCATATGACGATGCTACACCCCATGACATACTTTCCATTGTTGCGTGATATCAGTGCCGACGTCATTGTTGGTCACGTACCTATGACGTCAGAATCTGCCATCTTTGTCAGGGACGAGGTGTTCCCGCATGCGCAAGTTATACTTTTCAACCACGTGATTCCCGAAGACACTGAAATTTACAAAGATAATTGGACGCCGGCACTCATAGAAGACAAAGAAACAGAAATCAGACTCCAAGCTGAGCAAGCAGATATAGTATTTTCTGTTGGACCAAGAGTTTTCAATCATTTTGATAATAAATTCCTCGCGTCGACGTACATTGACCACAGGCTATTCCTTCCGGTGCCCGCGAAAGACTTTTTTGACATTGATCCTATGAGACCTGAACCTAATCACGTCCGTCGGATTTTAACAATTGGACGGGTGATTGGAGTCAAACATCTCAAAGGTTATGACGTAATTGCCATGGCTCTCAGTCAAGTCGCGGAGGTATTTCACAAAATGAACAAGATTCCGCCAACGTGGACAATTCGGGGCATTCCATTTGGAGAACACCAACAGACCAAAGAACACATTTTTGAGCATGTCATGTCTGCGTATTTGAAAGTTAACCTCTACCCATACGGATCACATGACCAAATAAGGACTGACTTGAGACAGAGCCACCTTGTAATTGTGGCGTCTCGCAGTGAACCATTCGGTATGGCAGGCTTAGAGGCATTGGCTGCTGGGATTCCTGTACTGGTCACGATACATTCAGGTCTGGCTCAGTTCTTAAATGAGAATATCCCGGATGAAGCAAGTCAATTAATTGTTAACGTCGGACTCAATAATGTGTCACTTGAACGTGACGTTGACACGTGGACAAAGTATATATTAGATGTACTTATTAACTATGACGTAGCGTTTGATAGAGCACGTAAACTGAAGTATAGATTGCTGACTTTGAAATCCATTTACAATTCTCACAAGGACTTCCAAGATTCTTGTAGAGTTAACATTCACTGACATTCACTTGTACAATGGCTTCAATATTCACTGACACAAACATTTACTGACATTCACCGGCACCGACTCAAATTACTTAAACATTTATCGACTCATTGTCATTAAATATTCACTGATATAAACATTTACTGACATTCACTGACACTGACTTATATAAGTTAAACATTTGTCAAGTCATTGTCTTTAAATATTCACTGACACAAACATTTACTGACATTCACTGACACCAAATTAAATGACTTAAACATTTATCAACTCATTGTCATTAAATATTCACTGACACAAACATTTACTGACATTCACCAACACTGACTCAAATGATACAAACATTTATCATGTCATTGTCATTAAATATTCACTGGCTCAAATATGTGTCATCAATGTACTGCTGATTGCCGAGAGTTTTCATTGTCTGGAAATGTTCACATAAAGTTAACATTCTTGTGTAATATATTAAGACTCCAATGAGTAGTGGTTTTACCTGCACATAGACACATTATTGAGCATTCCTAAATTGCCCCGATTTCGTGGTATTGACCACTTATTTGTTTGAAACACATGACTAATATGCATGCCTCTCCAGGCGTGGCATTTGGACCAACGCTGGGATGTCTTGTATTATTTGCCAGTAATTGCGATTGTTTATAAAACGCGGGACAGAAACCGGAATTGCCTCATTAGAAAATAAATATTGAAAACAATTTAAAGAAATCGAGTCTATACGAGTTATTTTGACTAAACTAAAGTACCGCGTTTTATAGACAACTTAATGTAACATGTCTTTTATCTGTTGTCTTCAAATAAAACTTTTGGATTGGACCAACATCAATGACTACGCACGTGACGTCATCGTTACGGAATACTACTTCGTGTTTATCTGCATACAAATTCCACTTTGCTACTCCAAGTTCACGCACATTCAACAGAAACACTAATATTCAAATCATAACACGTCAGTGAACGAATAAGTGTTCGTTCTATTCTTGTATATAATAATGACTGACAGTAACCTTGAGCCCAGATGTTCATCGGAATTTCGTGACGTCACTGACAGTGAACTTTTGCACCTCGACACTGTTTTTACGTGAAATCAATTACCTTCATCGCCAAATTACAAAGACGGAGTTTCATTTCGTCTAATTCACCATATCACATCTAAGATATTCAAAATAATTAAACGTAACCCAAATTCCCTTCACGCCACAAAGAAAGACTTTAAGAAAAAATGGGGAAAACGAAGACCGGATATGAATATTTTACAAGTTTCCAAATTCGAATAAATTCTGAACGCTTTCACGTTACAATGGGTGTATCTGTCAAATGTGTTTACAGTAGTATTTTACGTTCATCAATTCTCATTTGCATAACAGTACCATGTAAAGCCATATAAGGTCAGAAATACATCAAATCCAATCAATATCGCCTGCACTACTCCGCCGTAGCCTGAAATAAAAGATGGCCGCCACCAACTTATCAAGGCTGGCTACATACACATATTCTATCGCAAACACATTGTATTGATCTAAATACATCTCAAAAAATCAAAAATACTCTAATCCTGAATTCCACTCATGCCATAACTTATAGAAACCTTTTAAAATGTGATTTCCAGGATACCTGAACTCATTTAATTAGAATAACGGAAACATGAAGTTGCTTAAAGTTCGTGGTCTTATTTCAAGTACTTAGTGATGTATTTACATGTGCAAATACCTTACTGAGATTATTGTATCTCATTTGTAAATTGTTGAGACATTCCAGTGCTGTTCTATGATGTCATAGGTGGGAAATATGCAGTACATATATTTGTAATAAAAGTCCGCTCAAATTTAAATAAACACCCCACGTCAAATATGTGTCATTATTTGTCTCTGTTATTTGCATATTTTATCTATGAAGAGTGGGTCTTTTATAACCGTTATAAGGCAATTTAAATAAGGCGTTTAAATAAATAGATTTTATATTGTACCTTGATAGAAGCAAGATTATGATTTATAATAAAATAGGTTTAAACAAAATTATCATTCGACAAAATAAATGTTTTCAAGTGCATTTTCAGTGAGAACTATAATTCTGCAGTATTTAATTGTTCGTGTGGGATCAAGAACGAAATAGTATATTTTAGCCGTAGAATAAATTTCACCACCCAGTTTTGAGCAACATTAATCCAATCGGCTTTATTTGCAACCCACTTTTAAAAATTTTACTGACGCAAGTTTAGGAACATAAATTAATCATATGTACTCCAGCTATGCTGTAAACAAAGCTCGATTTCGCAAGAGAATTATGAGTTAGGCTCAAATCTTAGTTCAATATTTGTTTTCATATATTATGATAAGTTATCACACGTTTGTCTCACTTTTTCGGAAAAGGTGCTCTGTGTATTTCTTCCAAGTAACACTGTAACTATAGTATAGTTCCCTGAAAGTCATTCCCCTGTGTGTGTGTGTGTTGCTCCACAGATTCCGCGTTTTATAGATAAGCTAATATATCATGTCATGTATCTGGTGTCGTCAAATTAACATTTTAAATTAGCATAACATCACTGATCATGCACGTGACTAGTAAGTACGACTTTGTGTCCATCTGACTCCGCATTCTTATTTTTAAATGGCCGTATTCACCTGCTTCAAAATTCCAGCTCCAGTACTCCAAGTTTGATGTTTTTGATGAGTAGTAGTATTTTACAGGTGCAGCCAATGAGTAATAAATTGAAATAGTCAATTCTCAGGGACAAAATGTATTTGATGGGCCTTTTGACCTGCTGACCAAATTCATCTTTCCCATGCCCTCATTAAAAAGAACAACACTTTTTTGCCTACTCCCCCACCGCCAACTTGCCTTTCTTGCCCTCCTGCTGACCAAATTCATCGTCCCCCCCGCATTAAAAAAACCCACTTTTTTGCCTACATAGCTCTGCCGATTGGTGGCGTAATTCATCGAGTCATTGGCTTCTATGGGCTTCTTGAATACTAGTACATTAACCACTCAGCAGATCAGTGGGCGACTCGCATTTTCAGTTATTGATAGCACACGGCTGCCCACATTTAGCAGATGTTATTTCCCCCAATGCGTTTTTTATTATACCCTGCCCTAAAGGCTGTTTTGCCCACCCTGTGATATTTTTTTACGTAAGTACCTTACCCACTAAAAAAAGTGTCCCTGTCCTTGCATTTTTTAGAAATCTGCCCTGCCAACTGGGGGGGGGGGGTACTAATATTTCCCGTCCCCTACAAAAAATAGAAAAAATCACCTGCTCTCAACAAAAATCCTTTGGAACAGTTTTTTTCCGATGAACAGCTCCATAGCTGCACCTGATTTTTGTCAAGAGTAAACCAAACTTACCTGGTTGCATTTTTGAATCAATGAAACAAAAACCAGAGCATATTATCTGCTTGGTGATGTGGACGGGAGTTGTGTTGGGGATTGTATTAGCCACAGTTTGACATCATTTTAACACCTTTATAAAACATTTGGGCCAGATTTTGACGTACATTTGACACTCCGAACACACATTTCAAAACGTAAACCAGTGAAATGTTTTAATTAAATCAATGTTATAAAAAATTATAGTCAATTTATAGCGCTGTACGCACAGGAAAATAATCGCAATTCAGTTAAATTTAAGGTGGTAATAATCATTACTTCATCATGACGATACATCATAATATCAATCAATGATTTCCCCATATTGAATTAAGATATTTTATAGCTCGATACTGTACTCGCCTGAGGCTTACAGACTCTCGGGACAGCATGTTTTTCATTGTTCATGCAAGGATGAAAATTAACGTTATTTAATGATTACTTACTATTCGTGTGATGTATAGGGAATACTCAAATCAAATAAAGCTGTTTCAGTAATTCCACGATTTCTTTATGATTAGTCTATACAACAATTTAACTTTAGGCAATATATAAATATGCATTCATGACGCATATAAATTCATTGGCATAAATATCAAATGATTTAATTTGAATGCCCGCTAGAGGCATTTCATCAGGCATTGTTGATGGGTTTAATGGCACGCAAGACGTTTAATGAAAGCTGTATTTGGAACGTCTTTCATACAGTATACCACATATTCCCAGGGGAGATTGTGAGAAGGCATTGTCATAGAATTCTGGTCTTTTTTCTTAAACTGAGTTAGTCCAGCACAATTTCAACCAACTACAGTTCTTCATAAATAACACCAACTGTGGAAGTGCATCATGTATACCTACCATATCTAATTTCGTGTGAAATCCCTTGTTCGTGACTAATTTATATTTCAGAGCGATTTCAGATCGCTGTGATATTAGTAATAATGCCATTAGATCAGAGTGGAAAATGAAGGATAAATGATGTTAACAAAGTATGAATGACTGTATTTATTACATTTAAAGGGCGGCGGTCGTCGCGTCGCGTTCTGTTTGATATGGGCGTCATAACGACGCATACAACGCGTGTAAAATACTGTGTTTGTTTACATGAAATTCAAAGACGTGCCGCACGACGACCGCAACACTTTAACGGTTGATAGTGATATACATGATTATTCCAATATTGTATTATACCAATCGATTTACCCGTGTTTACAAACTAAGCAGTGGACCACAACTCATTCCTTTAAACTTGTTCTAGATTTCTACACGAAATGCCTATTGCGGTAGGCATATTTCCACTTATATGAAATTGAACTACTTATAATTAGGCTACCATTAATACCATTAAGGTTTACATTGGAAATTAGGCGAAGCCCGACAAAATCCGCATATAAGTAATAATGTGATCTTTACAATGACGTATACGACATATCTTTACTTGCAAATCAGACTCTTAACTATGCAAATTATTCAAAGAATCCAAAACATCGTCTTGGGTGCAGTACTTCGTGGATTGTTTCGGTCACATAAATTTGTATTTCTGAATAGGCTATTTAGAAAATATATAACATGCATGGTCACAATGCATCATCATTTAGGAAATACGTTTGAAAATAGGCGTACAAAAACAAAGT